AGAGGGAAGAGGTTTATTAGTGCCATGAAGGAAAAAGAAACTGGCAGGAAATGGCATAAATCGTAACACCAAATCCAGTCATTCCTGGAGTGGCAACCCCACAGTCGTGGCCTCCACTCCAAACCAACAGATACAATACTAATGCCGGAAAAAAAAATCCCCCCCCCAGAACCAACAAAAAACCACCAGTTCCGATAAACATTCTTCTTTGCAATATAACAGGTCTAAAGCCAGCAACAAACAACAAATACTTTCATATCCGTGGACTTGCTTGCAGAGGAGGCAAAGGCAATGTTCGCAGGCTTTCACTGGACCCACATAAAGGATCACTTTGGACAAACAAATAAGGATCCCAGTGTTACAAACCTATACAGATGTGACCAGAGTGGAACAGGCAAAAAGGGGGGGGAGGGGTTGGCCTTGTACACTGCAGAGTCACTTGTTTGCACCAGAACTGCTTAATGCCTCAAATGATGTAGTGGTGGAAGTTTTTAGCAAGTAAAGGTCGAGAAACCAAAACCTAGTCATTGTGGTAGACTACAAGCCTCAGGATGCAACACCCAGCAATTCTCATAACAGCTGTTAAAAATTGACCTTCTGTCTGAAAATCTTCCAGCTCCTGCACCCAACAACTTGCTCCTGGGATTTCAACTTAAGCACCTAAAATTGAGGAATATAGCAATAACATTGTTGCATTAATAACACCAGGAGGGCTAGCTCTATGAAAGCTCCACTAACATGAGCTTTTAAACTCTGGCACAAAATTCCAATTTAAACCAGCAAATAATAGAGCCTACTAGACTGGCGAATACACTAACCTCATCTCACCTAACAATGATGACTAATAAGAAATTTCACCGATATCAAAAAAACAATATAACTCAGAACACAACATAATCGAGGTTTCAGACAATCTATGCGGGAGCCCCAGACCGACATAATGAACTATCACGAGGGAAGCAATTCACCAAATCAACTTCAAATAACAAAAACATAAAGTGGACCAAGTAAACCAAGTCCTAACCGATATAGCTGGGAAGATATACTAAGCAACCACAGACCCCAACTTATGCCTAGAACAGATAAACATCGGTGGCACTCGATGTATGCACAAGGCTTATTCCTCTAAGAAAAAGAGGAGAGATGTAAAATAGAAAGAGACAGGCGCTCCCTTTACAGTGACGGAAAAGAATAACAGCGCGGCTAAAAGAGGTCAATATATCTGAAATGCGTAGGGAACACTGTTCAGAGAAATAGCAAGCATCCGAACTTAAGCTAAAAGAATCCTTTAGAAGTCAGGAATCGCGGGAAAGAACTCAAGCCATAAATTAAATCGAAAGAAACCCAAAGTATTTCTTCTCCTATGCCAAATCGAATATCGAGAACAACAGAGGCTTTTCACCGTAGCAGCCCCGGACTTTACTCATGTTGACGACTACCTCTGTGTTCTGTTAGTGAGGAAATTAAGATCCATCGACCGACTTTCCTGTTATACCTTTAGCACGCATTTTTGTGTCGCTATTACGCCCATGGTCCACACTTGTCGAAGCTTTTTGCAAGTCTGTGTATATACATCTGCATTCTTTTGTCTTCTAGATGCATTAAGAGACCTTGTCGTGTGTACCAATATTGAGACAGACAGGAGCTGACCTGTTTCAAACCCCATGTTACCCTGTTGTGTAACTGATGGATTTCTAGATGGGTGGTGATCTTGTTTCTTAGGACCCTTTCAAAAATTTTATGATATGGGGATGTTAGTGCTATTGGTCTGTAGTTCTTTGCTGTTGCTCTCAACTGCCCCCTTTGTGGAGTGGGCTATGTGTCTGTTGTTTTAGTAACTGTGGGACACCCCGTGTCCTGCTCCCCTCTCCATAGGAATGGAAAAGGCTCGTGATAGGGGCCTTCATGCAGTTCTTGTGATCACAGAGTTCCAATGAGTCTGGCCTTGGGGCAGAGTCATGGTCAGGTCATTTACGCCTGTTCGAATCATTTGGTACGTCAGGATACATCGGATAGCATGTGTTAATCAAATTTTTGGAGCTCTCTCATTAAAAAATATTCATTTTGATCTTCAACTCTCAGTCTGTTAGGCGCTTGGCTAAAAACTGATTATATTGGGACTTGAGTAGCTCACTTCATTCCTTGCTGTCATCTGTGTAGGACCCATCTTGTTTAAGTAGGGGCCCAATACTGGACGTTGTTCTCTGATGTTTGGATTGGCGAATAGGAGAAAGAAATATTGGTTTCTTTCGATTTCCATTTATGGCTTTTAGGTTCTTCCCCGTGCGATTCCTGACTCCTAAAGGATTCTTTTAGCCTTAAGTTCGACGATGCTTGCTATTTCTCTGACCAGTGTCTCCCCTACGCATTTCAGATATATTGACCTCTTTTAGCCGCTCTGTTATTCTTTTCCGTCGCCTGTAAAGGGAGCGCCCTGACTCTTTCTGTTTTACATCTACTCCTCCTCCTTTTCTTAAGAGAATAAGCTTGTTCATACATCGAGTGCCACCGAGTTAATCTTGTTCTAGGCATAAGTTGGGGTCTGTGTTGCTTAGTATACTTCCCAGCTTATATCGGTTAGGACTTGGTTTACCTTGGTCCCACCTTTATGTTTTTTGTTATTGAAGTTGAATTTGTGAATGCACCCTCGTGACTAATCTCATTATGTCGGTCGGGGCTCGCGCGCCTATAAGACTGATCACTCAATAATGTTGTGATCTGAGTAGTATTGTTTTTGATATGGTAGACATTTCTTATCAGATCATCAATGTTTTAGAGAAGAAGAGATCTAGTGTATTCTCCATTCTAGTTAGGCTCTATTTTTTGCTGTTTAAATGTAATTTTGGCAGATATTTAAAAGCTCGCGTTGAGTGTGAGTTTTCATCAAGCTGCCTCCTGGTGTTATTACTGCAGACAATATAATTTGCTATATTTCCTCCATTTTAGGTGCATTAAGTTGAAATCTTCCAGGAAAAAAAGCAAGATAACCATTCCCGGATTTCTTCCCAATGGTACTTAATATCTAACCAAGATATTGACAATAGTTATAGACAGCTCCATTAACAGTTTGAAATGGTGTTATTGCAAATAAACCCATACCCCCGGCCGGATTGAACCCGCGACATAAGTCTCAAAACCTCCAGCCCGTCGCGCTAGTCCGACTTAACCAGCTAGCCACAATAAGATTCATCCACTAGTATAATTTCACACCAAAGGAAAGATAGCACAGGCACTCTGTGACCAACAAATGCAAGTTTTTACAGACGAAACTCCCAGCTAGGCGTGGCCGTGACGAACTCTAGCTCAAGTCCCTCACTGCCGTAAACATGAATTAAGAAATCGTAATGACACGATTGCAAATAAACCTTGACCCCCGGCCCGGATTGAAACCCGCGGTCATAGAGTCTCAAACTCCAGCCCTTCCGCGCTAGCCACCAGACCAGCAAGCCACAATAAGTTTCATCCAACTCGGTATATATCTACACCATAGGAAAAGTTAGCACAGGCACCTCCGGTGACCCAGAAAAAAGCAATTATTACAGACGAATCTCACCAGCTAGCGGGCCGTGACGAACTCTAGCCAAGTCCCTTCACTGCCGTAAACCTACTTAAGAAATCGTAATGACATGAAGGGAACGATTTGCAAATTAAACCATACCCCCCGGCCGGGATTGAACCCGCGGTCAATAGAGTCTCACAACTTCCAGCCCGTCGCGCTAGCCACTAGACCAGCTTGCCACAATTAAGATACATCCAACTAGGTATCATTCAACACCATAGGAAAGTTAGCACAGCACCTCTGTGACCACAAATGCAAGTTTTACAGACGAATCTCCACTAGCGTGGCCGTGACGAACTCTACTCAATCCCTTACTGCCGTAAAACATTGACTTAAGAAATCGTAATGGACACGGCCACGCTAGCTGGAGATTCGTCCCTGTAAAAAACTTGCATTTGTGGTCACAGAGGTGCCTGTGCTAACTTTCCTAAGTTTAGAAATATACCTAGTTGGATGAATCTTATTGTGGCTAGCCGAGTCTAGTGGCTAGGCGAGTGCTGGAGTTTTGCGACTCTATGACCGCGGTTCAATCCCTCAGTCCGGGGGTATTTTTTTATTTGTCAATCGTGTCATTACATTTCTTAATTCATGTTTACGGCAGTGAAGGGACTTGAGGCTAGAGTTCGTCACGGCACGCTAGCTGGAGATTCAGTCTGAAAAACTTTTTTTTTTTTATTGCATTTGTGGTCACAGAGGTGCCTGTGCTAACTTTCTATGGTGTAGAAATATACCTAGTTGGATGAATCTTATTGTGGCTAGCTGGTCTAGTGGCTAGCGCGACGGGCTGGAGTTATTTGAAGACTATGAACGCGGGTCAATCCCGGCCGGGGGTATGGTTTATTTGCAACGAGTGTCATTACGAATTTCATAAGTCAGTTGTGTTATTGCACAATGGTAACCAATATACTGTAACTTACCTCTGCCTCATCAATGTGACTCGTAGCTTACCTCCGCCTCATCAATGTGATTTGTAACTTACCTCCGCCTCATCAATGTGACTCGTAACTTACCTCCGCCTCATCAATATATTGTCCACGTCTTTTTTTATGTTTTTAAATGGGATACCAAATTTACCAAAAACAAGAGCCAGTCATTCCACACTGATGACAATCTTACCAGCACCACAAACTTTACTCTAAATGACAGAAATATCATCGACCAGAAAATGTGTTGACTAGTGATTTGCAGGATTTCCTATGAAGTTAATTACAATTATATGTACAATAAAGTAGCTGATGAACAAATGGTACAATTTAAAAAGTATAACTTATTATTCCAAACTAATTCAATGATGTGTTTTACATAGTGAGTGAACAGAGATGGTGAAGATACAGCAAGTTAGTTACTGTACAAATATAGTGAGACAAGAAGGTTCACGATGGACCGAAAAATCGACAAGTTTTTATGTGTAATGTTTAGGTCATGTGTGTTGTTGACCAACCGGAAGTCTGGAGACATAATGCCGGGAAGATCGGCATCAAACCCGCAGGATATAAACATGAGAGAGAATATGGAGGCTGCGTGGAGAGCAGTACAGGCGGCCATCACTAGCGCCAACGTCCTGGCTCGTGGGTGACACCGCCTCACCCACACCCCGCCCACACCCACGCCCACGATGGCGGACGAGGTACCGCAGATACCTGAAGCACAATTAAAATCAAATGATGGCAATAACAGTAACTCTAACACAAGAAACTCAATAGAAATAAGTCATAGCGTCTGACTGGACAGGACCCACAGGCATAACACCAGACACAAACATCTCTATGATATTCCCCCGAGCTCGACTAAAACCTTTGTCGTAAAAATTTATTGTATTTCAAAGGAGACCTAAAATCTGGAACATCCCTACCTGAAAAATTCTAGAACTCTAGACACATTCATCATTTCCAAACTACATTTATAAAACAATCATAACTCCGCTGATACAACCCGGACCAACTACCTAGCATGATACCACCTGGTGTTCACTATTACACCACACTCACCCACAAGGGATGACTATAAACACAGAAATAACTAATCTTAATCTTAAATAACTGAATCCTAACTATCATAAGTTTGCCTATGATACTCCAATATAGACACTTTGTATTGTGCCAGAACAAAAACATTCACATTGCTAAACTCACAAATTATAATGCAGTCACCTAGCCTTAATACCATAATCTGTAAGGATTTAATGTTAAGAATTAATCTAAGTCTGCTCGAAATGTCTAGCCATGCTAGGTGTCCTAGTGGCCCCCTCTGTAATTAGTATTTTATAACATGCAAACCACACAATAATCAAATACTGTAAAACCCACATTGTAACCCTTATAGAGAATAAACTTGAATTGAACTGAATCCTGCGAGTTCATTACCTAGTTCAGCTATCAAAACTCTGAGGTACAGTCCCTGGATCCATTATGTACCTCCGTAATGTTGAGGTACAGTCCCTGGACCCATTATGTACCTCTGTAATGTTGAGGTACAGTCCTTGGACCAATTATGTACCTCTGTAATGTTGAGGTACAGTCCCTGGACCCTTTTGTCTCTGTAATGTTGAGGTACAGTCCCTGGACCCATTGATTGTACCTCTGTAATGTTGAGGTACAGTCCCTGGGATCATTATGTACCTCTGTAATGTTGAGGTACAGTCCCTGGACCCATTATGTACCTCTGTAATATTGAGGTACAGACCCTGGCCCATTATGTACCCTCTGAAATTTGAGGTAACAGGTCCCTGGGCCCAATATTTAATCTCTGTAATGTTGGTACTGTCCCCTGGGCCCATTAATGTATCTCTGTAATGTTGAGGTACAGTCCTACCCATTATGTAACCTCTGAATGATGAGGTAAAAGTCCTGGACCCATAATGTACCTCTGTAATGATTGAGGTAAAAAGCCCCATGGACCCAGTTATAAACCTCTGTAATGTTGAGGTAAGTCCGGTCCCATATGTACCTCTGTAATGTTAGGTACACCCTGGAACGCCATTATGTACCTCTGTAATGTTGAGGTACAGTAAACCTGGTCCCATTATGTACCTCTGTAATGTTGAGGTACAGTCCTGGACCCATTATGTACCTTTGTAATGGTTGAGGTACAGTCCCCTGGACCCCCCCAAGGGGGTAGAATTTTAATTTGGGTAGAGGTACTACTGCCAAAGGGGTTTCTAGCCACAGGGGGGCTAGGGGGACTCCCCCGGGGTTATAGGGAAAACCGCCCAAAAAATTTAATTTTTTCCCCAAACCAAATAAGAACCCCCCAAGGGGGGTAATGATGCCCGAATTTGAGTTATACCACCAACAATGGGTAAAGTCTACCATTAGGATGGGTAGGGGGTGATCCCACCCGGATTAGGGGTACTCCGAAGGTTTGGGAAAGGGGTCTCCCCCGGAAATTATGTACCCCGGAGGGGTTGGGGGTACACCCACTTAGGGGTACTCGGGTGGGAAAGGGGGTCTCGCCCCGGGAGGGGTTGGGGTACACCCCGGATTTATGTCCCCCCCAAGGGGTTTGGGGGGAACCCGCCCTGGATTTATGTACCCCCTAAGGGGTTGAGGTACAGCCCCGGAAATTTTTATGTCCCCCCAAAGGGGGGTTGGGGGCCCCGCCTTTGGGAATTTGTACCCCAGGGGGGGGGGTTAAAGTACTCCCCTTGGATATGACTCTGAAAGGGGGGTTGAGGTACCCGCCCATTTGGGATATGTACCCCAAGGGGGGTTGAGTATCCCCCAAAATTAGGGTACCCGGAAGGGTTGAGGTACTCCCCCCAAAATTAAGGGGGGTACCCCCAAAATGTTGAGGTACAGTCCCGGGGGGTTTATGTACCCAAGGGGGTTTGGGGTACCCCCCGGAATTTATGTCCCCCCCAAGGGTTAGAGGTACTCCCCCCCAATGTTTGATTTGGTCCCGCCCCTGGGATATGTACCCCCAAGGGGTTGAGGTACAACCCCCGGATTAAGAAAACCCCCCGGTAATGGGGGGAAGACAGGGGGTTTTATGTACCCCCAAAAGGGGGGTTGAGGTAAAGCCCCGGATTAATGTCCCCCCCAAGGAGGGGTTGAGGTATCCCAGGGGATTATTGTCCCCCCAAAAGGGGTTGAGGTACAGCCCAAGGATTAGGGGTACCCCCCCTTAATGTTGGGGTCAACCCCGGTTATATGTACCCTATGGGTTGGGGTACAGCCCCGGAATTAATAACCCCTTAATTTTTTGGGTACTACCCCCAATTTTATGTCCCCCCTGGAGGGGTTGGGGGTTTACCCCCGGTTTATGAAGGGTTTTTGAAGTGGGTATGGGGTCTACCCCAAAGATGGGAGGAGGTACAGCCCCCGGGGGGATGGGGTAACCCCCCCCAAAAGGGGTTGAGGTATCCCGCCCCAAAATTATGAAAACCCCCGGGTTTTTGGGAAAGGGGTCCCCCCCAAACCCGGGAGGGGTTGAGGTACAACCCCCGGATTATGATGACTGCCCCAAGGATGGGTATAGGGGGAAACCCCCCAAAGGTGGGAGAGGGAACCCCAAGGATGGGTATGGTGACTACCCCCCACGGTGGGTATGAGTACACCCCCCAAAGGAGGGGTATGGGTGACTAGCCCAAGGATGGGTTGGGTGATCCCCACGAGGGGTATGGGGACTACCCCACGGGATGGTATGGGGACTCCCCCCCACAGGATGGGTTGGGTGAAAACCCCAAAGGATGGGTATGAGGTGACTACCCCCCCACCCAAAAAGGGGTATGGGGTACTACCCCCCACCAATGGGTATGAGGTGATACCCCCACGGGTGGGTTAGGTGATCCCGCCCCCCGGAGGGGTGGGGGGAGTGACTACCCCCCCACAGGATGGTATGAGGTGACTACCCCCACAGGTGGGTATGGGTACTACCCCCACATAAGGGTATGGGTATACCCCACGGGATGGGTATGGGTACTCCCCCCAGGGGGTATGAGGTGACTACCCCCCAAAGGAGGGGATGAGTACTACCCCCCACAGGTGGGTATGAGGGATACACCCACAGGAGGGGTTTGGGGTGCTACCCCGGGGGATGGGTTAAGGTGACTACCCCCAAAGGATGGGTATGAGGGACTACCCCACAGGTGGGTATTTGAGGTGACTCCCGCCCACAGGGGGTAGAGGTGACCCCCCCCCAAAAATGGTATGAGGTGACAACCCCCAAAAAAGATGGGTATGAGGTGACACCGCCCCAAGGGTGGGAAAAAAGTGAACCCCACACTGGGTATGAGGGGATCCCCAAGGGGGGAGGGGTGACTACCCCCACAGGTGGGTATGGGGCTACCCCACAGGATGGGTAGAGGTGATCCGCCCCGGGGTGGGTATGAGGTGTACGCCACGGGATGGGTATGAGGTTTTTTTCCGCCCACGGGAGGTATGAGGTGACTACCCCCACAGGATGGGTTGATGACTACCCCCAAAGGGGAGGGTTGGGTGATACCCCCCAAAGGGATGGGTATGGGGGTGATACCCCCCAGGGAGGGTTGAGGTGCTCCCCCACAGGAGGGTATGGGGGGGACTCCACCCAAAGGTGGGTATGAGGTGATCCCACCACAGGAGGGATGGGTGACTACGCCCCCAGGAGGGGTAGAGGTGACTCCCCCACAGGATGGGTATGAGGTGATACCCCCACAGGAAGGTATGAGGTGATTTTACCCCCCCACGGGAGGGTAGAGGTGATACCGCCCAAGGATGGGTATGAGGTGATTTCCCCCAAGGGATGGGTTTTGGGTGCACACCCAAAGGGAAAGGGGTTAGAGGTGATCCCCACGTTTGGGTATGAGGGATTCCGCCCCAGGAGGGGTTTGAGGTGATCCCCCACAGGAGGGTTAGGTGTTTCCGCCCACAAGGTGGGTATGAGGGACTCCGCCCCAAAAGGAGGGATGAGGTGATTTTCCCCACGGGTGGGTATGAGGTGACTCCCAAGATGGTAATGTTTCCCCCCAGGATGGTATGGGGTGACACCCCCGGTGGGTTGGGGGTGATACCCCCACAGATGGGTATGGGTGTACCGCCCGGATGGTATGAGGTGACTACCCCCCAAGGAGGGGGTATGGGTGCCCCCACCCCAGGATGGGATGTGATCCCCCACGGGATGGGTAGGGGGGTTGATCCCCCCCACAGGTGGTATGAGGTACTCCCCCCCACAGGGGGGTATAGGTGACTCCCCCCACAGGAGGGTTGAGGTGATACCCCCGGGGGTTTTGGGGTGGCCCCCCCAAGGTGGAGGGGTGAAAAACCCCCCAAAAGAGGGTTTGGGGGCTACCGCCCCGGGGATGGGTTTTTGGGTGATACCCCCCGGATGGGTTGGGTGACTACCCCCACGGTGGTATGGGGTATACCCCCCAAAGGGGGATGGGTTAAGGTTTGGGGGGGGTTACCCCCCAAGGAGGGGTTGGGTGATCCCCCCGGGAGGGTTGGGGTGACTCCCCCCAAGGTTGGGAAAAGGGGTGACTACCCCAAAAAATAGGGGGTAGGGGCTACCCCCCAGGTGGGTTTGGGTGACTCCGCCCGGGAGGGGTATGGGTGACTACCCCCAAAGGATGGTTGAGGTGATACCCCCACTATGGTATGAGGTACTACCCCCACAGGATGGGTATGGGTGACACCCTAAGGATGGGTTGAGGTGATAACCCCAC